ATAGTGCGTGACAGTTTTGGATTCACAAAATCTATATGTGTAACATCGAGTTGTCCCCCCACTTATTTACTTACCCCCTAGGTATTAGTCAAATATTTAAATAGATCTCTAGATAAAGAAAAAAAATAAAAAAAATAATAATTTCTATTTTTTCCATCCAGCAAGACAAATTAAATAGTAACATTCATTCCATTAAAGAATATAGTTTTTTCTATTAAATGCCTCCCAATAAAAACAATAATAATAAAAGAAAGAAGGAAGATAGTATACTTGAGAGAAGCGGGTAAGTGTTTATCATAAGAATGGTGGCTTTTGCCATTCGTCATCACTCTATATAATTAATTAAAAAAAAATTTGTGCTAATATCCTGTTTTCAAATATGCTGATAGTAAAAAAACTATAGAAACACATATCAAGGTCGGAAAAATGGGTAAGTATTTTTACAGGATGGTTATTTTTTTGAGAACTATTCTAATTTTAAAAGCTTGTTAATTATTTGCATACTTGGAAATTAAACTTTGATTTGTATTTGTATGGCTTAGGACATGATTGCTTAGAAATAAAGAGAATTTTGTAGATGATAACGAAAGAGTATAATCATATTATTTATTTCAATAATTTGGTATTTAATACTCAATGATAAATATCAAGAGTTAATTTTTGTTTCTCTGCGCAAACAACATTCTTTTTAGAAATGGAAGAGTAGAGTAGAAGAACTGGAAAGAGAGATTATTATACTTACAAAAAATTAAAAAATTCAGAAGTTGCAGGTAAAGATCTCATAGCATAAATATTAATAAATATGCATAAATTAATTTGTTCCATTTATCTATATGTATATTTGTATATTTGAAGAATTGTCTAGTATATTGTTCGTAACCTTAACTAACCTGTACCCATTTTTTTTTGATCCTCTTCCTTTTTTAATTAAATATGTGACCCTATTCATTCTCCTCTTCATTTGTTCTGGATATGTTGATTGTTTGGTTACGAACATATAATATTACTATAGATGTGGAAACTTGTATAATTAAATTATCATATTTGAGAAAAATGAAAACTGTTCAAGTGAATATAAATAGGGCAAACAAGGATCCAATAAACTACTTTACAACGCTGGGATTGAAACATCTTGAATTTCCTGAAGGAACCAAAAAAGAGCACATTAATGTTGTTATTAAAACAGAAAAAAATGAGATCCAAGTGACAGAAGATACTCAATTAATGAACATCATATCAACCACATCACAAATGCCCATTTTAATTTTTCATACAAGTAAGTAACATTAGATCTGGCATTTTACGGTTTTTGTTATATATTAATGATTGAAAAATCATTTTTTTAGTAGCACGGCCTTTTTCCAGTTATACCTTCCAAGAAGCCTCAAAGCTATTTAACCTTAAAGTAGACAGCATGGGAGAATGTCCAGTTTATCATCAAGGGATTGCAGACTTGGTTGGCATGGATCGCTACATTAATGATACTGTTTGGGACCTTATGGTAACTTTGATAATTTATTTCTTATTTACTAGATATATTATCTAATTATATGATATTTTATTAGTGTTTACATAGAGCATATGGTGATGTTTCTGGAACAAACGAAGCACAATATTCCGTTTTTATAAGAGCCGTTCTTGTTGGAATCATCCACACCTATAACCCTGCAGACAATTATCTACTCCTTGAACAAAAGGTAATTATGGGAATTTATGGAATGGGGCCTGTTGACTTTGTAATCAAAAAAGGAAACCAGTTTATTGGTGTAACAGAAGCAAAAAAAGAAGCCATTAGCAAAGGTTTCGCACAAAACCTGATCCAGTTGCATACTTCATATATGGTCAGTTTTTATATTTTCTTGTAACAATATATTTTTCATGATTCCTTATTATTATATTTGCATTTATTTATTTATTAGGAAAATCAAAAAAGAAATGATAATGAAGAAACTGATGGGTTACGAGTTCTATTTGGAATTGTTTCCACAGGTTCGCAATGGTTTTTCATCATTTAATTCATGGACCCAATAAAAAGTATCCAATTGTTCAGAAAAGTTCTCTTCCGCCCATCAATCTATCTGTAATTGGTCATGAATTTGATGAAAAAAAGGTAAAAGAGGAAGTTTCTGCGTTATTCAGTTATTTAAAATGGTCTATGGATTTATTTGTTGAGATTTTATATATGGATGATTCAAATGCTAAAAGGCAAAAATTAAATCTTTAAGTATTAGTTTATGCACATAAAACTATTATATAATTAGGAATATATTTATATTGCAAATGATAAAAATGTTTTTTTTAAAGTTTGTTCAAAATTAAAAGGTGGAAATGGTTTATTAGGTTAATAACTATTTATAATGTAAAACATCATTAGGCATCTAATTCTTAAATATTTGCATATTATATAACTTAAAAAATAATAATTAACTTGTAGAAAATTTAAATAATAAAAAATGTTGAAATATTTAATATGAATCAAAAAACTATTTTCAGTGATAATTGTAATTGCCAATTTTGAACCCTGAAATCTCTAAAGTGACATAATATTAATATTCACTTTGTCTGGTTTTGTTGCAGCATGCCCCATATAGAATTACCTCTATATAAAAATAGTTAATACGAAACTCATTTATATTAGGTCTACTATGGAACCCAAGAATTATAGCACCATTAGAAGTATTTTGAAAAAGGAACAAGGTGAAAAAATTGCTCCTTATATTTTTAAATTAGCAGATACCAAATCTTTGCAAACATATTCAGACAAAGAAAGGATTACCTATTGTGAGATTGTAAATAAGGACTGGGGAAGTCCCAAGCATGTCGATCAATCGGAACCAACTTACTGCGGCAGCCACGTGACAATGACATCATTTTCTATTTTATCTTAATATTTTGTGTAACAACTACGCCACATACTGCGTCATGTTACACATTACATCATTTCTATTTTTAAC